CTTTCGACCGATCTACATTTCCAGGTGCTCCGTGTTGTTTTTGGTGGTGTTGTTCGAGCGCGTAATTTTCTCTTCTTTATATGAATTATGACTTTTGTGTACTAGTGAGTTTACCTGTGAGCTTACCAACTTTTGCACATGCAATTGCACGTTGCTAATCGTTCATGGACTACTGAAAAATAATCGTTCACATAAAAAGCAAAAGTTCTGCGCTACAAAAACACGGGCGAAAGCAACACGGCGCTTAGAACATCCAGAAATACACAGAAGGTAAGTTGAAAGTGATCGACTGCAAACCATCGGGTGTCCCCCAAGAGGCCCGTCGCGCGGCGAAGGAAGAGACGCAGACGCGGCAAAGGACGAGTCGCAGCGCATACTGTAGCGGTTAGGCGTCAGGTTAAATAGAGTGTACCATACTACGTCTCATATCGCACAGCACGCGCTGCGACTCGTCCTTTGCCGCATCTGCGTCTCTTCCTTCGCCGCGCGATGGGCCTCTTGGGGGACACACCAGCTGTGCGCCAAGTACGCTCATGCGCAAGTGCGCGTGTTGACGCTCTTTGCACCGTCCGCAAGTCCGCAACGGCGCAAAGTATGAAAGCGGCCTCATACGCTCTTTAATGGCACGAATGACTGCAAATTTTCGTCGTAATGACGTATTGTAGTAGAAGTACATCGCGTTTGTCCCTAGCTTCTTCACAATCACACAATTTTCCCCAAAGTATGACGGGTTACACGTTTTCCCCTCCCCCTCCACAGCTGCGAAACGCGCATCACTAGTTGCTTGCACATCTAGTGTTTTAAGATGTGGTCACAAACACTCACCGCTTGTGCTCCTCGTAATGCTGCGCTTCTGTGACAGATTTTAGCACATCCAATTTGACTTCCATCCCTTTGAAGCCCTAGATATTTGTGGTTAAAACCTTTTAAATATGTTGGCACATGAAGTCAAGCATTTGAGCCGGAATTTGCGACCAGGGGATTTTATTTCTCAAGCGGGAAGGGGAGTGGTAATCATTTTAGCAATTTTCTGACACCATGGTTGACCCTATTTGTGTAGCGCAGGGCGACACACTGAGTTGAAGAATTTTTATAATTCAGGAGTTGGGAAAATTCCAACAATTTAGTATTAGGTTGATCAAAAAGTTTTTGCCGTTGCATCTAGTGAATTCCCTCGCTTTTCGGTAGCCCCATATCAAAATATTCATTTGTTTGACTGTCCTTTTGTAGAGGAAAATCTGCTCTTTTTTCCGCATATAAAAATTAACACATTGCGTACCGCGTGCGCCACCATGTGGCGCACGATTTCGCACGAAACAGCATAGTTTTATCTGATTTATTTGACATTTTTCAATGCTCCTGAACTGTTTGCACTCATTTTCAGAGCCGGGAAACCATACGTGTCATCACTGATAAATTGTTGATAGATTAATGATGATACATTTTTGAAAAATATAAAAAATATACGAAGTACGAAGGTACTCGATACAACGGCGGTCCGCAATGTGTTAAAACGCAGGCAGGCGCATGGGCTGCTAGAAAGGTCTTAGAAATTGTTCCGTTATTCCTCAATTGCTCAAACAATATCTTTGATGAGCGACTACTTTTCTGCTGTAGGACCACAAGAATGTCGAATCACCTTTAGACCGTTTTTGGACTAAAATAATTTGATTTTCTATCAGTGTGGACCACTTTCGCACCAAAGTTAGCAAGGGCTTGGTAAGTGGCAAGGTCCGATTATACGGGTAACAAACGATGCAAGAGTTCCAGCCGAGTGGTAAGAACCAACCGTTGAAAAGTGGTGATTCCAAGTGTTCTTACTTGGGTCGAATGCCATTACTCCTCTTAGGATGAGCAGCTCACTGCAGCTGCCTAAATGCATTTTACGAATAATTCCAAATCTGACCTCTGACTTGAAAATCCTTTAGCTTAGAAACCTTTCATAATGTTTTTCTTGTCTTCTATGTCAAGAGCTTGGAAAGCCGCCAAGTCCCTAGCCATACATACAATCCTCTTCAGCCCTGCTTCGCTAATTTTCACGACATCCATCAACGTCAACTCCTCCTTGAACTGGAAATCAAGCGGAGCCTTCAGCGGCTCATTAGCTCTTATTAGCTCCTGAAATGATGAAATCAGCAGCATGCAAGGGAACTGAAAGCTAGGCACTAACCTGGACAAGGTGCAAGTCCTCCGCTGAAAGTTTTGCGTATTTTCGCTCGTCAAATGTTTCTTGTATGGGATTAGCGCATTTCGAGCCCGATGAAGTCACGACATCTTGACATCCTCAAATTCATTTCTTATATGGTAAAATCAAAGAAAGCACAGCATCACGAGATTTCTCGATTTATTTCTTGTACGGATCCGCCCCCTTTCACGGTACCATGAAAGCCTTGTAACACCTAGAGGATATGATTGGCGACGGTATGTAATGTGACGGCAAATCACGCCATATCCCATGCCCATGGTCCGTGTCAAGAGCTCGCATAGATTTCCTCGCAGGCCACTTAGGATTGTCATCACAGGGTCGGTGATCTTGCGTCAAGCAAGGTTGATGAGATGAAAACGGCTGTTTTTGCAGTGGCTGATCCATCAAGCTATAGGAATACAGAGATGGCAAAAAAAGACACTCACTCCACATTTCAGACAGCATTAATCACACTTTGCTAAACTCAAACCGACTGCTCCCAACTTAAATTAAAGAGCACATCCCAATCTATCAATAAACGTTATAATAGCTTTCTGCACCAAGGACATCACAAGAATTTGCCATGGGAACCTTGTGCACGGTTCGAGCTCAACTGGTCCTCGGCGGATCATGGACCATTACGACGTTATCTGAAACGCTGGTCGGAAGAGGTCTTCCACACTTAAAACTACTGTTCCTAGGAAGCAATCGTCAGTGAACCGATTAAAGAAATTTCGTAGCAGCTTCAAGCTGGAATGACGGTGAGCCTTCTTGGCCTCAACGATGATGGAAGATGACGTCAGATTTTGAGGACGGTGGCGGTAGTGAGGGAAGTTCTGCTTTTACTTATACGAGAGGACGATCTGAGCGCCATGGGCAAAGTATCCCTTAGTTTTGGTCAGCCATGTATACATAAGAGCCTATCTACATTTGAATACCACCACGAAAATCCATAGAATTCATTACGTGGCGCATTAGAAAAGGGATAAATCCAGCTATCAATCTGGCCTTTTTTATTCGAAATGTATTCTAGGGTGCAGTCGAGTAAACTTGATAGCCGCTTGACTCTGACGAGTGTATTAGCTAATCAACCACTACTGGGTGTACTCCGTGGGAAAAGGGTAAGGATGAGGCTCATCAGCGTCCTCCGCCAGTGAGGCCTCACCTTGAGCCTTTGCCCAAAGGAGTACACCCAATGGTGACGGGTTAGTTAGCCTTCTCCAAGTTGTGGTACACACGATCTTGGGAACAGTATTATAAGGGGAAAGCTGGTGGTCCGTTCTTACATCTAATCAGAGGATAATCCATTCCTTGAGTGATGCCCTATCTCAGACCTCATGCTCTTGTAATAAGTACGAACCTGACGCTTGTAGAGATGGCATCATAGGGCTGAATGCTACCATCGAAGACGGTGAGAGCGGTGACTGCAAAGGCGTGTAGGACCTCGAAAAAACAAAGAAGTCATTAGTGTACTAACAGTTAATGGTAAAGAGCTTCAGCGAATTGGCAATGGCGTCAAAGTAACGTCAAGCTTCGAGAACGTTTTCCTTTATAATTTTTTACTCGGGGGGAGGGGAGGGGGTTCGTTATTTTGTCACTTTTGATTCGATTTCGAGAATATCAACAAATCCATTGCCATGTATTGGTCCTGAATCGGTTCAAGATGGTGTAAAAACCTAACTCGAGATTAGAGGATATGTGAGGTTTGTTAGTGTCAGCATTCAACACTTACGGTTGCACTGTCGAGAAGGCCGATAACATAACATTCGAGCCAATACCAGGAAGACACAGAAGACTTTGAGAGGGCGAGAAACCATTTGAGAGGTCGACGTGGTTACGAAGATGCGACGCCGTCAAGCGAGCGAAATCCGCTTTGTGGCAGTTGTCGGTGGAGAATAGGCCCGGTAGCGAAGAAATAGGATCATCCGTTTTCGTAAGGGAAGGCGGTACAAACTGAGCTTGTATGGATGAGATAGAGTTGTTCGAATACACCACGGGTGACTGTTGTTCCTGCAAATGCCACATTTGATTCATGGGATTACCGAGAAAAAATGCTGACCTTGCCAGTTTCGACGGCAGTCAGACGAGTGTCAGGTGGATAAAAGCCACAGGTACATCTACACTCACAGCATGCCTTGCTGCCTAGAATTCTGCTTATTGTGACTTGAGATCACCAAAGAAAGCCGAGAGACCAACCTCTTTGCCTTGCGGATCAGTTCATTGAGGTAGGCTTTGGAAACACTGACCTCTTCAGGTGAATTCGCCTGAAAGTGAAGAAATTTTTGGAAGACTTCAAATTTTCAACAATAGCGAAAGCACTGATATGTGGATAAATAGGAGTTACGATATATCCTGGCAACAACGACGAAGACTGCCAGGTAATACCGTAACTCCAACCTGACCACCCGTTCGTTCTCGGCCGTACATAAATACCAAGACTTATCCCATCGTCGGTAGTTGCTGCTCGTTTTCTTGAGTTCACTCGAGGTTTCTGATCAACCAACCATGATCTGCTCATGCCAGCCTTAATGTAAGCAACTTTAGACAATAATAAACAAGAAGCGTATGCAGCTCCAAACTTCTACCGCGCTCCTTCCGAGGGAGCTGCAAATGCCGATCGTGTGTGCAAAAACCTGAGGCCATTGTGACTAGCGACTGCTTAGCTCGTTCAGATTCAAGGGAGAATCATAAATTTCTTATTGACCTTCTCTTCCTTTCAAATTTATCAAAATCAACTTATCGACCCCTTTCAATACTCACCCGCCCTTAAATCATCATCCACTCCCGAATTTTGAACTCAAATGGTACGCCTCCGGTTCCCATTCCGTAGGAATTTGATTTCCAGTTAATTAGGATTGAGATTGAATGAGATAGACTGAAGACCATTTGCTAATGTTTGCGATGCGCTACTAATTTAAATTTATGCAGCATGGCAGAAATGCACAACGACTGCACAAATTTCCCTTGTCTCCCACCCCTTAACTTAAACGTTATTTGTTTCCTAGATAGGTTGGAGCCCGGGTGAAAATCGGTCGAGGAAACGGCAACGGCTCGTCGAGGATTTTCGCCTGATCAGTCACGCTCTCCCGCGCACATTCACACTCGCCATGGCGAGCCGTCTGTGCTCTCCGCGCGTACATTCACTCTCGGCACTACTCTCGTGCAGCCATGGTCGAAGAATTCCTCGACCGTTACTTCACCCTGGTTGGCGCTACTCTTTTCAACTGGTATAAGTGTTTGCTTTCTAGGCGTACTTGATGTTTTCGGAGTCTCCTTTTTTCATCGCTGCTCTTTGGTTAGTTTTTGTTGTAGTTCTTTCAAAGGCACGGTCCGAGATTATGCACACTTACCTGTTCCATCCCCGATCGTGGTAGACAAACGGACCGGCCTTGATGTCGCGCTCCAAATGTGGTTGGAAATTGGGCGACAAGGGTGCTGTAGCCCGACCCGCAATCCACACCCTCTTCATCAAGCCCCACCTTACTCTGTCGGCTGCGATGTGACATGTGTGGGCGCGGTTGATGCAGCGGCTGCATTGCGCTTCAATGTCGTTGGCGCTGGAGCAACTAGAGCTAGGCTCGTGAAACTCGTCCAACACGCCCCTTCTCTATCCCAAGGTGGAATGCGGCTGAAATAGGTTCTTATTCGGGGCGTAACCGGGAATTCCTCTTGCTTTCTTTTCCTTTTCAAGCCACCCTTCTCCTCCAGCTTCATTGCTAAACACTATTACATGTCCATTTTATCCCGGAGCTCGCTCTTAACTAATCCATCAACCACAATCTTTTGCCTCTCGCTCACAGATGAGAAGACAATAGGACAACTCCTTACTTTTCTCATTAACCTTTATCATCGTTTACGTTCCTTCCGTACAGTTTTTTTAGATACCCTTGTTCACTCATGAAACAAATCAAGATATAGTCCATGTAGCTTCTTCTCCGGTATGTTCATTGAAGCGCGTGGTTTTAATTTCGGCCTACTTTCTTGCAATTTTCTAGAACAGAGCCGACAACTGTTATGGTCAGTTCTTGGACTTCTCTCTTTTTTTCGTTTGGATGGGTCTATCGAAAGAGCGACGGTTTTTCCACAGTTTGGGCGACGAGGCACGCTGACGCGCGAGAGCGTTAATCAATTGTAGAGTAAATGAATCGAAACCTCGAGTTATTGAGTAACTGTTCCACTTAAGACGCTCGTAAAAGCGCTAATAGTTAGGGGAGGGGAGGAAGCAGTCACTGCCACGTCGCGCGGAATATTCTCTGCCTTTTCAGCAATAAAGTGTGCCTTACACTTTTCACGCATTTGGAAATCTCCTAGAGAGAACCAGTAGTAACAAAGTAAGTGCACAATTCATCAATGAATGAAATATGCCAGTGTGCTTACCATAAAGCATTTCTGCAGACGACAGGCTTGGCAGAACCGACGTGAGGCCGACGTGATCTCACAGTTGCTCGAAAATGGACATTTTATCTCCTAAACAAAGCCCATGATGAAGATGGTCAGTGTAGTCGGAATCCCTCTTCACTGTCTCTCGTGACGCGCCATTTCGACGCCGAGAATGCTTTTGCATGAATTCGCAGTCAACACTCCAAAATTATAGCCATTGGCGCGATCACCACAAACCTATAATTTACATTTAGCATGTATTTCTAGGAGAGGAGAATCTCTTGATAGTTTTTTCTGTCCTTCAAATTCTAGACCACATCAGAAAACTGGGTCCAGAGCTGAGAGCCTAAAGCGATTTTGGAGCTTGACTGTGTATAGAGCTGTGTCCGAGTTATGCCGCATAAATCAATTACCGATGTTCGATGTAAAGTACCATCAAGGGGGGGGAGGTGGGTGTAGCGGCAGTGATGCCACTCCCCACGCACGCGCTCCGAGGGTCAAATCTTGCTAAATCTCGCCCAGGTCACAATTCGTTCCATTATCTTGCAGTTAGATCAACGGTATTCAGCTATTACGTGGGCGGACGATAAACAGCTGATTTGTATAGTACATTGGCTTGAGTCCGTGGGAGTCATTGTGCACGCATATGTTCCGTGCTTCGTACGACTTACTAAAGGCGTCGTCACAATGGTTCGGGCGCGCACAACATCGAATACGCAGGAAGCTGCGCCAAAGAAGCAGGGAATGGACGCGCACTGTTCAAGTCAGTCTACACGTCGCAGCCGTCGAGGATGGTCGTTGCTGTCAGTCGCCGTCACCCGCAGTCCTCCGATCTTAGGTACGTCACCGAACATCGTAGATGCTCTACCGGGCATGGATGCCCGAGATGAACAGCGGGACTGCTGCCACGTCACCCCCGTAAGGACAGCGTATGGGTTCGACCCCGTGAGCAGTAGGTGGTATTTCGCATTTATCGTAGTGCTTCTTGTATTCATTCATTGTAGTATTTTTCGTAGTTTCAAAACATGAATCTATGGTGCTTTCATTTCTTGTATTATGTTGCAATATCTTAAGCGCGTACACCGCAGCGTACCTACGTTACATGTACTAGTCATGTAAAGTATTGCGATGCCCGTAGGCGGGGCCAGAGAAACATCATCGTAGGCCATAGGGCCAAGAAGATAGAGTCCTTGGGCGTATTCGTAGGCAAGGTAAACCTACAGCAGGTCTTATTTGTCGGTACATCGGGGCTGCTAGGGCCTACTTAGGTAACCCGCGTGGCGTAGTGGCGGGCAGCGAGCGGCGTAAGACCCCGATCGCAACCCTCACGCCGACATGGACGCCGCTCCTAAGCAGGGTTGACCCCGATGCTTCTGAGCTTATGCGAGGAGCAGGGCGTCCATGCCGGCGCGACCATACCGAACAAAAGCTACCAGTAAAGATTCGAATGGACTACAATGCGCGTGTACATCTTAGCAGGAAAACCGTTCAATTGCTGCGGAGCCTGGAAGCATAACCCCTATTTGGGTTTTAACAAAAAGCAATCAGTCGTGCTTTGGGATGCGCCACGTACTCAGCATTCATTCGAAATCATATGACTGGGTACCATATGGATCATGTGTGAGAACATGCAAGGCACCTGTTCTTCTTTCATTACAGGTAAATTTAACACCACTCCCAGTGCAATGAGAGCTTGGTGGACATTGCAGAATCGAGTTGCCACCAAGCTGTACTGTAAGGACAGCACTTTTCACTGCGCCATCACCGCTACCACTTTTGCTCCTCAATTCCCATTGCAAGTCAACACTTTTCGATTCATTTGGTCTTAACAGGTTCACTTCAGTGAAGACAAACTGCAAAAGTAGGTATCTGTAGGTTTCTGTGAAACAAAATCATAATTAAATATTTCCAGGAATATCTTTTTCATGCGATATATTAAGTGTAGTACTGAGACCAGTTCACCTTACATGTCCTTGGAGCATCTACAGTGGCCGAAGTGTCAGCAACTCGTCTAGCCGTGGCGTCTTCTTCCGAGAAGGACTCGGGTGAACGCTGCGACATGGTGTCAGGGTTCCGGTTCGAGTTGCTGCAAGCAGTTCACATCAAAAGATGAGTCACGATGCGGAAGTACTCGGGAATATGAACTCCTTCTGTACCTACATACATTCTATTCATTCCTTTATCCATTCATTATTTCACATCTCTATCCTGTCTTTTATATTACTGTTGCTAAGTGGTAGCTAGGTAACACAACCGTCTATTTTTTTTATTTGGAACAACATGCGCAAAAATACGGTACATACTTTTTGAACATGTCCGGCTTTACTGTACCATTTGTAACCATACACCCACGCCTCTATGAATTCTTAGCCCTCACCAGTCCATGGTTCAGCGCACTCAACTCTGCCTTCCAATATTGTGGGTCTAATTTTGGCTTTAGGAACTGTTGCATTCTGATCTGATATTGCCCACATGAATCAGAAAGATTTCACCTGTTGACAAATTCGTTCGTTTGACCCTCACACATGCATTCATGCGATGTTATAAAAAATCCGCAGGCTTCTCTCTTGTTTTCAAGTTCACGGGGGGGGGGGGGGAGGGAACACAAGCTCGTCGGCAAATATTCACACAATCTGGATAAAGGGTAGCCAGACCTGGTGGGAAAATTTTGAAATAAAATTCAAGTAGAACAATATTTTGAAGATCGCCGCCTATCACTCTGATGTACTGTTGGTGGAAAGACTTAAGGAGGTGTGCCTCAATGTTCTTCGATGATGACCAATGGCAATGATAGATGTCTTCTCTCTCTCACTCAGTGTGCACACTAAAACCATTACTATGAGCTTACGTGGGGAAAAAAAGTTGCTAAAAAAATTCTAATCAAACAAATCCAATCGCAGAAGATCTGAGTTGCTCAACTTTATTACTAGCAGCGACTATTGACATTTCTACCATAGAAGGGTAGCTATCTTCAGATTATTGAGCCTTTGCCAAATCCTCACGTGAGGTTTCCCCTATGATTGCAAGCATGGATTTCATAAAGGGTCCCCTAACTCGGCTTCCTCTATCTGTATCGTTTACTATTATTTTTGTTGACCACCATGTCGGCAACAATGCCTTTTTCGCACGTCTGCCACGACGAAGACCGCCTTTTTTCCTTCCTAAAAATTATTCCTGGTGCTAGACTCTGAACCAACATATAAACCACGAAAGGTTAAAACCTCGATATAGAGACTGTCAAAATCCCGGTATCTCAAGACTCTACTGAATTTCCAAAAGAGCACAAATCTTCGCGCTTGATCAAAGAAGGTTGAGAATAAGCTCGAAACGTTCCAATGTCTCACTCTGTTAACGAAACTGGATCCCTTACTCTCGGAGGTTTCATCGAAACCAAGTCTAGGAGAAATCTTAACCAGGGAAGATCTTCAGGGAGTTACGGTTCTGCAGTGAGTATAATTCACATGCGATTTCTCCCACTGGTGACCTCAAAACTGCGTCTCATATCTGCTAAATGATGTTTGAGGCGGGTTGTGCAGGTTTTTCGCACTATTTCTGCCTGCTCTCCTTATCAAACCGCCCTGAATTGCACTGAAAACTCTTCACTCATGCATCTGTAGGCAAGCATTGATGCAGTATTGATGTCAGAATTCTTTGTAGCTTTGTTGTCAAAAGGTGTAAAACCGCAAACGGCAATGACATGGGTTCAATATAAGTATAAGTTTATTACGTTTGCATAAGGCACACGTGAGAAATAATTGACACCATTATGAATCACATGAACTGAACAAGAAATAACTACAAAACACCTATATTTTTAAGAACAACGAGCTTTGGTAATCAGTCTCAAAAAATGCTATGAACCTCTAGTTCTGAGTAATATATTAGATATTCGTCGCTTGAATTGTGCTTGTGTTAAAGAAGCGGGTATATTTTTCGCTATATTCAAATAATCACTACCGGCTCTATATGTGAAGTTCTTAGCACGCACATTACTCTTGGGTCGCGTTAATGATATTTTCATGGATCCACCTCTAGTTCTCGAATATGACATTTTGAAGACATTGGAAAATCCAGACACATAATAATTCTGTACCAGTTTATGAACAAAACATAGGTCAAACACTCTGCGCCTCCATTCAAGAGATGTCAGTTTGAGACTATTATTCCTGGTAGCCGCGTTCGGTATATTATAGTACTGGAAACCTCCCATTCTAATGAATAGTTTACGTGTAAAATTATTTTGAACTTTTTCAATTGCGTAGATGTGTTTCTTTTTGAAGGGGTTGAATACTGTAGTGCTGGACTCAACTAATGGCCTTACGTAAGACTTGTATGCACGTAGTAATGCTTTTTGATTGGCCAAAGATAACCCTTTGAAAATTTGAAATGTACGTAAATGGGCTGCTTGAACCCTTCTTTTTATATGCTCCGAGAAATCTAATTTATCGTTGTAGTGAAAACCTAAGTCTCTGACTGACTGTACAGCAGAGAGGGGAATCCCATTAACAGTGTATGAGTTCACTGAGGGTGGAATGCCGACAGCTAACTGCATGTACACCGTTTTATGTGGAGACATGGGTAGTTGCCATTCTTCAGACCAGCGTACTGTTGCATCGACTGCCTTCTGCATACTATGAAAATCACCGATGCTCAGTATAGGCTTATAGATTTTCAAGTCATCAGCATAAACCTTTGCAGTGACGCCTGCTTCCTGGAGCATAAAAGGAAGTTCGGCTGTGAAAATATTAAACAGTATCGGTGATAGTACACCTCCTTGAGGCACCCCACTTTTCACATGTTTAATGTCAGAAAATGAACCATCAATTTTAACCTGGAACGTTCTACCTTTCAGATAAGTCGAAATCCATTTGATTATAACCGGGTGAAAACCAAGGATCTCTAGCTTTATATCAATTCTTTGTGTGAAACTCTGTCAAACGTTTTGCAAAGTCAAAGTAAATGACGTCACAA